GGTCCGGGGCCGGGAGGGGGGCAGACGAGTTTCCCTGGTTTTGGCCAGAGTGGCCACCAGGGAAAGCTGGGGAGGGCTAGCCTCCCACTAGTTCGAATTAAGGGGCTACACACCCCTTAATTCGAACTAGCTAGTTCGAACTAGGCTTAATCCTCATAAAATGAGGTTTTCCTAGTTCGAACTAAGCGCTCTGCTAGTTCGATTTAAATTCGAACTAGCAGAGCGCTAGTGTAGCGCCTATTAAAGTTAATTCGAACTAACGTCTGTTAGTTCGAATTAACTTTGTAGTGTAGACATACCCTCTCTTCCAAACACGTGGCTCCTCAGAGCTGACTCATGTGCCACCCTCTAGTTTACAAATAGTTTGGGGAAGAGCGAGGTGGAGGGCACACTAGAGCAGGGGTTCCCAAACTTTTTGACACGAGGACCAGTAAATCCATTCATGAACTTTTGGAAGTACCGGGCTGTGGCCCATAGTTTGGGAAACGCTGCACTAGAGGTTTGAAATTTAATTTATTTTAGCGAGGAAGGCTAAGCCTAGCATTTAACCTCACGGATGCCTGTGGTTGGCCTTTACTATACTTAGTTTGGAGGACAGCAACATTGGGCTCCCCACTGTGTTTGCAGAATCAAGGCCTAAGTAAATGGCCTAAAATGAAAGGGCAATTTGCATGAGGAAGGCAAAGAGAGTTAGGCCTTTAAGAGCACTTGGGTGGAATATTTCTATATGGCCCTAGAATTCTGGCTATTCATCCTCCTAGAGTTTTTCATTTGTGTCATGACATAAAAGTTTATCACAGACCTTTCCTAAATCCAGTCCAATCATCTTATATTAGCATGGCTGGTAAATTGCCCATGAATTTCATACATTAAAGGCATTTAAGGTTTTAGATGTCTGGTATAGGTAAAGGCTAGTAATAGCATTGTATTGTAAAAAATAATCCAGAGTAGTGTGGTAACATGCAGAGCAACAAAAAGCAGTCTCACTTAGTCTAGATCTATATTACACTTACTTCATAACAAATCCAATGTAGCTACTGCCCCTCCCATCAGCTTAGAGCATCTTCACCAGAAGTGCTACAGAGGTGTAGCTCCAATACAAGTTTGTAGTGCAGACCTGCCCTTAGAAGCCCCTGAGTTCAGTATTCTGTTTTAGAATAAAGCTCCATAACAAAGGAGGTGAGGCAAATGCTGATGGAAGCTGTTTACTTTGCAGTGCTGAGAGGCGGAGCACTGACAGGAACCTACAGACTGATTCAGTTTCACATTCACTGGGGTTCCTGTGAAGGCCAAGGTTCTGAGCACACTGTCGATGGCAAACAATATGATGCTGAGGTAAGACTTGCTTTTTTTCTTTTAGGGGACTGTCCACATTAGGTATTTTCTCTTAACATTTCCCACCAGCACAACTCTCCCCATTGGCAGCAATGCCAGTAGCTCTAGCAGTGTAAGACCATGACAATTGTCGGCTGCTGGTTTACATCACTCACACCACAGGAGTGGCACGTATAATAGCAATGGTGGGAAATGGTAAAACACGATCTTGTGTTGATACAACCTAAAAGTGCTGGATGGTGTCGAATGAGACATGGTATTCACTGTAAAAAGAATTCATTTTCTTTGCAGCCACTTCATTTCAAAGAGGATACAGAAGCAAACAAACAATTTAGGGATATGTGGCTGTTCCCTGCACTCTCAGTGACTCTTGGGAAGTGCCGGGGAAAAAAAAATCTATTCCCTGCACATCTGTATATCATAGGTTCCCGTTTTCCTTGTCTCTATGTTAAAAAACAAAGTGCTTGCACTGACATGATAAGGCTTTTGGCTCCTTAATGGCTTTATTATGGTTTTCAAGTCACGGTCTATGGTAATGAGTAAACAAAAGGAGTTTGCAATGGTGGGACCTCAAGCAGACATTTTAGTTGTCATGGCCAGCATGCCTCCAGGTACCTTACAGAACTGTATGGTAGAGCCATAGCTGTGTCACCCTTTGCCACACACTACCGGACCCATGCTCACTTCTACTGTGCTTCCTGGAACAAAAGAAGAATGAGGTCCTAGATTAATTCTCATCCCACCCATTTCAGTCCAGTCTTGCACTAAGAGCAGTGGTGGAGTCTCCCAATTCTTTCACTAAGGCCACGTCTATTTATTTACTGTGCTGGAGATCAATCTTCTGGCATTTGATTTAGTGGGTCTAGTAAAGACCTACAAAATCAAATGCAGAGGGAACCCTCCATCAGCACCAGTGCAGTCATAAGGAGTAAGGAAACCCAGTGGGAGCATTTTCTCACATCGGCCTTTCACTGTGAAGATGACGCCAACCTCAGTTTAAGGTATGTTGACTACATAAATAATGTAGCTGGAGTTGCATACCTTAAGCTAACCTTTCAGGTCTAGTATAGACCTGGTCTAAAGTAGCACAAGGATTGGGATTGTGGCTGGTCCTTGCATTGCAGTATGGAAGAAGTAGTTTCTTGCATTCTTTCTTTTCCTATCCCTCGTGCGTCCAGAAACTGACCTGAGAATTCACTTGCCCTGCTTCTTCTTCACAAGGTCCTGAGCATGTTTCAGCTTTAGGAGCCCCTGTGTATCTTGGAGGATTGGATCCCTGTGGTTATAAAATACTGCCTGTGGCACCATAATTAGCTGCTTGGACTTCCTGTGCAGATAGTTATGATGGCACAGATTGTTACGATTTCAAATGAAGAATAAGCAGCAGGAGCAGATGAGCTTTTGAAGAATCAAAATCATCTTGTCATCTTAGTAGCCCTAGAAACAATTAAGAAAACAAAAACAAAGAAGGAGAGCAAACCAACTAGACTGTTGTGGAGGTACATTTCCAATCAGAATGTTCTCCAAAGCATTCCAGGAGCTGTCATTTTCTTAAGGCATTCCCTAATTTGTGGGCCAAACTCAGCCTGCATGTAAGCAAGTATAACTCCTCTAACGTCAATGGGTGTGCATTAAAAGCATATTTAGCCCTATAATCTGAAGTAACAGAATATACAGATTTTAAATAATTAGGCCAGT